CTACTAAATATAAACTACTGTTTAATATAATATGACTCAGAGGTTGTCAGGAGGGCAACAGCAAATAAAACATAAATGCTACATTTTAGGTGCTGACAAATGACATTTTACTTTTTGGGACTTGTTACATGTTAAAAGCTAGAAGGTGAAAGCATGATATTAGTCCATTTTAAAAACATTAAAAACAAACAAACTCAAAACTGTGTGAAAGGTTTCTGTAGAATAAATCACTCCTTCACTTGAGCTCAAGCTTTTAGAGGCTGAGAGGAGTTTTTGTCAGTGATATGTGTGCACATGAATTTCATTATTTTGAAAATAGTAATGTACAAAAATGTTTAAAAACTGCATCTGAATCTGAACCAAAAACTAAAAACTTGTTCATTGGTCCTAAATTTCCAACAAAAACTTCCTTCAGCTCCTGTTTATTGTTAAGTGAATGACCCACAGACCTCACTGTTGTCTTTCTGCTTTAAATGACAACAGCATGCACCCTAAATAAGTAACATGTTACCCGCTCTATCTAACTTCATATACCTGTCCACTATGCACTTTGCTCTGTAGATGTCCGTCAGTGGAATAAAGGAACCGTCCGGACTCATTTCTCAAGTCACTGGAGCAGCTTTGCTCTGTGTTGGTTTTATTTATTCATTATCCAGGTTTTATTTATTCACACTGTGTTCTTCAGTCAACAGATAAAAAACAGCATGCCCCTGCCTAATTCAGCTCCCTCTGTCCTTCATCTTTTTCATATGGGGTATTTTTTATAGATAAGTATAGTCAATTAAGCTATGCCTGTCTCTCACTCTGTATCTATCATGCTTGTCTGCATCTCTTTATTTATATCTATATCTATGTCATGCTCTGTTTTCCAATTATGAGGTTATTATGAGTTGATTTTCTACTTACACACATACTTTATTTACATGCAAATTATATCTGAAGATTAATCTTTTATATGCTCACAGATGATATGAATGCAGGCACATTTCCATCATTTCACACTCTTTAACATCCCTTATTTTAAAACCCATATTGAGTGACAAATAAATAGAATATTGCATACTGCATCTCCCACACACACAAAAAAAATCAAAAAGCACTTGACGTGAGAGTGGGCACACAGTCATGCATAGACTTGAACAGGCATACTCACACTTTTGCTGTTGTGTGCAATCTGACAACTCTGATGGCGTAGTGACAAAACTGCCCCCACAACAGCAGATATACATATGTAAGCAATTAAGTACCCAAACCGACAGCTAGACTTTAAATTTATGTTTAATCCTTTTCATAAAAAAAAGCATTAATTGAGCTATGAAAGGGTCAAATGTTATATAACAATTCGGAAAGGATGCAGTGTCACATTTAGAGGATTCGGCTTGTGGCAGACTCTGGAGGGTGCATGTGTTTAAGGGATCAGAAGAATTTCAGGTTCCGGTTAAACACAAGTTTAGAGAATGCTTTTACCTTTATTGGCAGACAGAAATGCCCACTGTAGAAGACCAGCATATGATTATGGGGAGATCTAAATTGATCTTAAATGGGAGTGAGAGCAAGAAACTCTGTTACTGTTTAGAATAGAAAACCTTGTAAGAAGCCGTCCCATTTCTTTGTCTAAATAAGATGAGCCATCTATGTAAACTCTTCTCTCTTCTGTTCCGAGGTTTAAACTGAGATGGAAATTCCAGTCTGGGATAGACAGTTCAGGCGATGGCAGACGTACTCATATGAGCAGACTAGCTGGAGAATGCTCTAACTCAACATCCACGAGTGCTACACAAGCATCCAGTGTGCAACTGGATGAGGATGTCTGGCTTTCTGAGTTAACTTAATACTTTGGCCTTTGTTAAGCTCAGCTCAGCTGAGTCTTAAAAATGTTGCTAAAAGTCAAATTTTCTCTGCTCTCTGCATTGAATGTAAAGCATACACAAATTGTATCCTTTATCCTAATTTTATTTGTAATGTTTGACCCAACCCACAAATTGGACCATTTAAATTCATTTCTAAAACTGTGCATATGTGTAATGTCACTGCAGCTACAGCAGCCAGCAGTAACCCTGTTACCACTCTGCCGTTGTTGCTGTTTATTAATTCCCATAGAGAAAACCACAAATAGCCTAAAACATACTGTATTCTGGAGTCGCCATCACTGAGCTGATTGAAACCGGTTTCATTCTAAATATGTATTACAGTGTAAAAGAGGAACAGTAACGGAGGCCATTAGCTCTGTGTCTCAGTACCAACACTTCAAATCCTCTAATTGCACTTCTTTAGTAGACAATTGAAGCAGACCATTTGTGGTAATACTATTTGTCATGGCATTTAATGTTAGGATGGAGATCAGCTCTGGATGCCACCATCACAGACACAAATACTAACAGGAAAGGGGATAAAATAGAAATTAAATGTTACATTCTCCTTCTAACTACCTCATTGTTGTTTCCCTTTCTTACCACTGCCTGCCAATTCTAGTCTTTCCAGCTTATTAAATTGGGGTAAAATATATACATACATGGGCAATACATCCATAATACATGCATGTTCCTTCTGCCTGTAAAATACACACACTTGTAACAAGGGGAGGACAGTTTAAAAGACACAACATTGTCTTGGTCACAGCACAAATGCCAAGTTAAGATAGAAAAAGAGTATTTTGTGACATTTCTTCAAGAAATAATAAGTTTAACCAGTATGGTGTATAACCGCCATGGCTTTACATCACACTGACTGATTCACTCTGTACTCAGTTTAATAAGGTTGGATGATCAAAAGGAAATTACTAACAGAAATGAGATAGTGGATTACATTCAGCAGCACACACACACACACACTCTCAAAGAAGCTGCATGCTGTCAAGTTTAATTTGTCGCTGACCGTAGCTGCATGAGGTGAGCCAGCGACCGACTGCATCTCTTTGTGTACGCCGCCCCTGCCTCAACTCTGCTGCGACTTCTTTCAGTCAGTGACTCATAAACATTCTTAGAAACCTTAGTGCTCATTAGACCAGCTGCGGGACCAGAATTCTCTTTTTTCTCTTCCACAACTTGTAAAACTTCAAGGATATAGCAGAGGAAGGAAGTACACACCCAGACAGAGTGAACCTGACACCCGAAGCAACCACAGTGCTCTGCAGCTCTGGTCCTATGCCAAGCAGCCCTGAGCTGTTTACATCTACAAAACTTCCACAAAGACAGAACTCTTGTTGGGGTGCATCATCAAAAGCCGTTAGAATTTTTAACAAACATATTCGGTCTGAGCTGTGCAGATCAGAGAGAACTAGCAACACACATGTTCTTTGCTAGAAAATATATTTGAATATTAAAGCTGCACTTATTGATACTTTAATAGGAACGTGGGTTAAACTGACTACATGCAATGTGATACACCCATGGAACATTACCTGACTTTATAGGTAACATAGTGGAGCTACAAAATATATTTTCCTCTAGGAGTTGGCGGAGACCAAAACAGAGCTAAAAGGTGTAAGGGTAAGGTGGCCAGGAACACAACTATGTCTTTATACATTAGTCTAAAATGGGTAAAGTAATGTGATAATATTGTATTTAAGGGTTTTATTCAGTTGTTAAAATATGTCAGTGCAACCTTTTTTTTAAATGAATAATAATAATAAAATATAATAAAATGATTGTGGTGATTGTTGAGTCTGGTGTATTTTTGCAAATGCCATTAGGAGCACCAGGAGGAAACCTGATTTTTTCACAGGTTATCTGTCTATCATGCACTTCTATCTGGATATAGTGAAAGTTTTAGCAAATATGACAAAAAGTTACCTACTGCAGCATCAATAAAATGGGTATTATTCTGATAAAATCTGTAAAACAATAAGGCGTATAATATAAAGAGCTACATGTACTAGAACACAGTTGGGGGGGAAGCCTGGCCATTAATGAACGTCTATAATGTCTATCAGCTGTCACTCACTGGTCTCTTTAAGTGCGAACCGTACTGTATAAAGACCTACTATACGTGTTACGACGTATCTGACCTTGCTTTGTGCAGTTGCAGTGGCCTCTGTGTGCTCAGTCATAATCATGGGTCATTACCTCAATTATGGCCCTGTGAACTCCTATGATTGACTCACCATGGAGGAGCAACGTACACATACTAGGTCTAAACAATAGAAAATCAGTATAACACTCCTCCATGGTTTTTTTTTTCCTGGATGGTTTCTAACGGAGCAGGACAAGTGTTTTGTATCTGAGCCACCTGGACAATCTGGTACAAGACTCTTCTCATACCCCAGCTCCTAGTTACACGTCTTCTTTTGTCTATCTGCTATTTCCAAGGTCAAGCCTTTGTTGTTGTTTTATTTTATTTTTTCCATTCCTACTACCTACAGTATTAAACTACAGCAGCATTGCTTGCAAGCCCAAGAGTTAGCAAACCATTTGGTAATAACATTTGTCTGTGTGGTTAAAGGTTCCTTAAATAAAGCCCCTTTCATGACTAAAGCATGCACTGTGCAGTGTTAAACCCACTGTGTGGAAGCTGGTATCAGTCTTTAAACGTTTTTAATGCCTCTGTCGTGCTCTTGGGGAGGTTCACACTCCAGCAACCCCAACATTAACTTTACCCAATATAGCCTCACACAGCCAAACATATTGGTTAGTCATCATCCTAAAAACCTTTCTTTTACTACGGCATTAAAAAGCAAAAAGTTAGTCAGAGACTGTTATCTTAATTAGCTAAATATGTATTGATGATGAAATCTGCCAGTGATAATGTTGTGTGCTGCCTGTTGTCATGTCAGTGGGCAAAATCAGTGGTCAGTGGAAGAAATGAGAAGCTACTTTCATCTGTCTCTGTTTGAAATCAAAGACCCACTTTTTGCAAGTGGTACCTGCATACATGCTGTATGAGACCAAAAACTTTGATGGGTATAACAACAGCAAGGAAAGTGGGGGTTTGCAAATGGCCGGTTGATTTTTTTCTTCAGTGTGTGACTGTTTATCTTTCTCTTTTGTGTCACCAACATATAGACTATACGGCGAGCTGACAAACTGCACGTACGTGGTGGCGCTGTGGATAGGGTGCTTCTGGCCCAACAGGCTGGTGGATGAGTTCTTCATCCGAGTCCACAAGCACTACTTCCACGACTGCTCGATGTCTGGACGGCTTCTCAGGGACCCACCCAACCACATCCTGGGTCCCTTCATTGTTGTGCCCATCCTGGTCACCCTCCTCATGACAGCCCTGGTAGTGTGGAGGAGCAAACGCAGCGAGGGGATTGTGTAGTGAACGGGAAGGAGAGGTCACAAGACTCAAGATAAGAGATACTTGGCCCTAAGGTTGCATCATATTCACCCTCTGTGACCAAAGGATCTCTTTTCCTGAGTGTTTGGGTTCTAATAGAACCAGAATCATGTCATTATTGGTTCTTGAAGAGTAGCTGAACGAGATGAAATGAGATCCTACTTCAGTGATGCTTGAATGCACATCAATATGAAGCTTCTACAGCTCCCATCTACTGTTACACCAACATGGATTGAAATCATTTATTTGGTTTACAGCGCAAAGAGGGGCCAGAACTGCTCACCTTTATCTGGTGTGGACCAAGATAGTGACTGATGGAAAGATACTGTAAATATTTTAAAAAATCACTTTTATTGAGAGAAACTGCTTCAACGACTTTTGGATGTGATGATAATGCTAGTAAGTACACATAAAGGAATTTAACAACAATTTTTCGAGACTACATAACATGGCAACACAGGAATTAAATGCAGTGCTGAACATGGCCTGTTTTATGAATGTCTTTCTAACACAATCAAGACAACAAAACATTGTACACTAAATTAAATTCTCTCAGATGCATTTTGTGTTCCATGTGATGCAGAGATACCTGATTTTAACATATGTGTATTATATTCGAAATATACTCTCTGAAACATGCAGATGGCTTATCGTCACATTGTCAACGTGTAGTGGGAGTAGGATGTGTCTGTTTTGAGTTTTCATATAATTTCCTCTGCTCATATCAGACACCCTGGCTTCAGGTCCTCAATGTCTTGGCATACCAAGAGCTCAGTCTTTGAATGGGAAGCAAAGACATGTTTCCATAGCATTATGCACACTGAACCAGCAGGAAAAAAGCAGGAGGTAATGATGTGACAAACTAAAGATTGGCAAATGTGGACTACAGGATATTGAGAAACCACACAACACAGAGGACGGTCACTACGCAGGGGTTGAGACCCCAATTTGGACAGGCTGTGATGATGTGATGTTCTGCAGCTTCCATCCTCCATCACCAAGGAAACTAAAAGGAAGAAATGCTGGAGACACACAGGTGGAAGTGGTTGAGAGTGAAGACTCTGAAGGCCAACATACAAAGAAAGAAGTTTGGAGACTGCAGACAGTTAATTAACCAAAAATTCTTACATTCTGTCATATTTTTCTCCCTCAGACACTGTTATGCATGTTGTTTACCATACAGAAAGACACAATACCATCAATTACCATATTGATTGCAGCCAAATGAGGCAGTTATCTGAACATGTGGAAAGAAAAACAGAACAAAGAGTAGAAAATTCACAGTGGAAAAATCAGTCTAACTACGGAGAGAACATAAAGCAATGGATTAGCCAACGCACATCTCTGCTGAACATTGCCATAGCCTAAAGCACAGTTTGTGTATCACGGACCTTAGGTTTCTATTGATTTATGATCTTCAAGTGTGGTAGAGTGTGCTGTGTGAACTGTTTCCTCATTGATATTTTTGAATGCTATCTTTCCTTTATAGATTCATTGACCTGTAACCTGCCTGTCAGTAAAACACACTTTAAAACACACCCACACTTCCTCAACATGATCTTACTTTGTGCTTTGTGCCAAACGCTCTTGGAAATATGACAGAAACATTTGCTATGAAATGTATAATTTTCTGTTGCCGTGACTTCTGATGATTGAATTTTAAAATCTATGATCATGAAAAAAGTTCAATAAAATGTCTTTATTAATGTGTCTGATACACTATGGATTGGCACTTATGTTCCTCATGAGTTGGAGAGATGTTCTTTTGGATACTATGTGTTAAATATGAATGATGAATCCTGCATTAATGTATGCATGGCTTAGTGCACAACAATGAGTCATAATGAATGCACTGGGTTCAAGCCCCCATGGCATTTGCTGAAGTGTGAAAAATATGAGAAAGGAAAAACTATATTTAGTAAAGTGTAAACAACGCAAAGGCCTCCCATTTATACATCACAAAGACTTGTGTCCAGAAATTTTTTTATCACTTTACCCTTTTCAAATAGCAGTGTTGTCTGCAGTGAAAGAGTAAATAATGGTGCAGTAGTAACACAGCATTATAGAGTATCTTGCACTAAATGGTGCTTTCAAACGGATCAGCATAGAACACAAACCATGAGGTAATAAACCTCGAAAATCAATTAGAGCACACAACATGTAATTAACGCTTCTCATTGGATGAAAGAACTAACTCTTAAGGTCAAAGTCCAAGTAATTTGAGGTAATCGAAGTCAAGTGTCAAGTCCTTCGGGACAAGTTTGACAAGCTATTTGTGAATAGGGCAAGTCAAGTCTCAAGTCAAGTCCAAATCAAGTGTCATTAGAGACAAGTGTCAAGTTATTTAAGATACGTTTAAGGCAAGACGCAAGTAATTCGGGACAAGTTCAAGTGAAGTGTTACGTCATTCAAGAAAGACTCAAGTCTCAAGTAACAAATCTGATTTGAGTGTAATGTAATTTGAGACAATTCCAATTCAAATGTCAAGTCATTTGTGACAAGTGTAACTCAAGCCTCAAAACATTTTAAAATACGGGTTTCAAGTCAAGTTGTTACACACACAACAAAGTGGATAATGCAACGTACTATCGGGACCAAACAAAGGGCATTGATGTTTTCAAAGTATGAGTAAGATTACAAACCCACAAGACAAAAACACGAATGCATGTACTGGACATGGTCAATGGCAAAATCAAAGATGGCCACAACAGACCCCAAGCTCCCCAGCTCCTATCTAGTTCCATTTATTATCTGACTAGTCTCCGCCACCGCTGGACTGGCCATCGGGCATACCGGGCATTTGCCTGGTGGGCCGATGGTGATTTTGGGCCGGGCCTTTTTTTTTTTACTAATGGTACTAGTATTA